TAGCCTCTAAACATGGCAAACAAAGATTTAAGTAAACTAAAAGTTCATTTTTAATTAGTTTTAATGAAGCTTTATTCCTGTTGTCCCGCCACTTTGCGTTCATAACAGAGAATACTTTTTCTGTAAATGCTGAAGTGGCCGGAACGGACAGCAAATGTGACACTACTTTGAACAGATTTGGGAAATCAAGTTGTTCCCTAAATATGGCTTGTCATTTTTCTGTGCAATATTATTGATATAAAAGTACTCTGAATTTCGAATAATCGCTTACAAAATTATTAGTTTTAATGAAGCTTTATTCCTGTTGTCCCGCCACTTTGCGTTCATAACAGAGAATACTTTTTCTGTAAATGCTGAAGTGGCCGGAACGGACAGCAAATGTGACACTACTTTGAACAGATTTGGGAAATCAAGTTGTTCCCTAAATATGGCTTGTCATTTTTCTGTGCAATATTATTGATATAAAAGTACTCTGAATTTCGAATAATCGCTTACAAAATTACGATGTTTACTTAAGGCCTTAAATAAAGTATTTTTGCGTACTTTATGAGTCTTTGTAAAGTATAACGTACGCACAGTCGAAATAGAGTACAATACTTTATAATAAAGTACGGGTGGTAACCCTAGTGATAGTGTGCATCCCTGTCCGACTCCCATCCTAATATTTACTTCCCTACGTTGTATCCCTAGCTCTATAACTGCCTGTTGCTCTTTATACAAACTAAGTATCACTCTTCTATCGTTGTAACTCATCCCTATATTTTTAAGTATATTTAACATCTTGTCCCATTTAAAATTGTCAAAAGCTTTTTCTAAATCTACAAATCCTATATACGCACTCTTTCTTTTTTCTATCGTTTTCTCTGTTGTTACCCGTAAAGCTAGAATGAATAAACAAATAAAAAGTAATAATTAAATTGCCTCACTGCGATATTTATTGTGCTTTATGATAACGGAAAATGTGATTTATTTAAATAAACACCTTTCCTGTCTTAATGCAGATTTTCTTGTTTACATTAGAAATACTTTATTAGCATGTAACTAATTAGCATATTATTCAACAACATAGGTTATTAGCATTGTTATTAAGATTGAATATAAGTACTTATAATAACTTCCGTATATTGAAGGTATAATCGATATTACCCATATTTTGTAAAAATAATTATTATGCAAAAAAGGAGTAATTAATTGTTACAATCAATTTTTGATGACGCAAAAAATATTACAAAATTAAATAAAAAATAATTTAAAAATGGCAATAAGATTAGATTCATCTATCTATAACAGAGTGAACCAAGAAATAGACATTAAGAAATAAAAGAAAAAAGAAGATGTACGCAGAAAGGAGAAATTTTATATCTTTCTTACTCATAAAAAAATACACGCTACTGAAGTAAAACTTCTTTAAACACACAAACATACCGGGATAGGGATTAAGGATTTGGTTTAATTGTATCATTTGTACACTATGCTTGGCATGGGTGCAATGCTGATAGTAAATATACTATAGAATGTCTTTAAATACAACGATCACAGCTTTTTTGTCATTAGACAATACAAACCGGCCGCTACCGCCGCAACCGCTATGTCCCTGTATTTTAAGTCTTCGAAAATATTCATTTAAATTACATACTATAAAGGGCCATATTGATCTATATTAAATGCACCATGTATTTAAAAGTACTTAATTGGATAAGGATTAATGCTGTATTGCTTAAAATCGCTTCGTAAATAATCCATTATTTCTCGTAAAAAGTACAGGATAAAAAATGGTTAATGTGGGTTATCCCTAAAAGATAGACATATACCGTCGCGGACTTTTTTGTAGATCTTCTTAATAATGTACAATATTGTAGTACATTATTTTGATATATCTCGTAGGGTTCAGCCAGCGTTTCCAATGTAAGCTTAAAAAAATGTGTTTATTTACATCACATTACAAACCTCTAAAATTGTCAGCGTTTCTCTACTATATTATGCATGTATTATACATAAACCTTCCTCTTGAATTACTCTATCTATTAAAAAAAAAACTCATTAAAATCGGTTGCGTAGTTTTAAAGATCTAAGCATACATAGAGACAGACAGCGGGGGAAATGCGTTGCATGATTTCGTTACATAGCAACTCGCATGAAACGAACTTACCCTACTGTGCGTAAAGAAGTTTCACTTCAAAAAATGAGAAGATAATTATGTTTAGAAGTTAGAGAGCTAACTAGATCAAGTTCTAATAGTAACTATTCTAAGCGATTATTAAACAATAGGTAGCGATAAAGTGCCGATAAAAGATTACGAGAAAAATTCAAAAAAGTTTTCCTTACGGGTGTGCGTATGTGTACGTGACTTAATTAGATATAGTTTTTTCAAAACTTATTGATGTAAAATTTCCAGAATGGAATTTTCTCGATAAGCTACGATTCGTCGAGTACCCAGAGAAATTTCAAGTATTAGGAAGATTTAAATGTACGCCACTGCTTATATGCGAAAGCCGAGGCAGACCCTTGTGTTCCGACAATTGACTTGTCTCGTTTCTGAAAATTTTAATTACAAACAAATTTTAAAGAGGCTCTACTTAGGGACAGAATTAGAAGAATTAAAAGAATTAAAAAAGGGAAGAAGGGACAAATTAATGTAGGTATTGAAGATGAAACAAAAAATAATATGCAAAAATATAAAAATTAATTAAAAATATGATTTATAAATTCTTTAAAATTTAAAACAGAACGCATGTACCATCGAAAAAAAAGGAAAATGGTTCTGTTCAGATCTTTAGATTTGGAAAATTATTATTTCTTGGCGTTTCGAAATGCTGGCACACACATCTTTGTCTTAAGGGACAAAGAAATGTTGCGGTTAGCCCCAGCCCAGGAGCAGAGCTAGAGGAGCGGTCGCTCTAGGCGCCAGGAAGCAAGGGGCTCCAAAAGTTAAGTGCGAAAAACAATTTTTAGCAAAAAATAAAACTTTGACACCTTCTGAAAGACGCGGAGCAGTGTTGCTAGGTCAGTTTTCTGAAAATCTGTAGGGAGATAATGAAAAATGTGTAGATTTCCGTCTATTTCATATAGAAAAAAAAACTTTTGGGTGTTTCATTCCCACCAGCCAGTAATGCTAGGCTGGTGGGCGGGCAGTCTCTCCGGACTACACCGGAAGGTATGGCAGAAGACCCCCTTTAGCCTGCTTTCAGGAATAGTGGGAATGGGTGGGTGGTGGTTCGGGTGAGAAAGTTGAGACGGGCGAAATGAAGACAGAAGAGAATGAAAGATTATCTGTGGAATATTACTGCCCCAGCATTTGCCTAAGTGATCCAAGGAAAGCACAGAAAAACTTGGACCAAGGCAGACGAACCCGGAATCGAACCGGCGTCCTCTCGAATGCTAAGCAATGGTCTAAACCTCTAGGCCATGCCGCTCGGTTTGCATCTAGATAAATCAGTATATTTACGAGCTTTTCTAAATACTAAGTCGGATTTTAGCAAAAGCTAAATCTAACTAGTCTAAGTGGCTAGATTAGCCTCGAACCTAGTCCACAAGACGCATTTATTGTTAAAGTACATGAGTGACAGCTCTTTTGTGCACAGCTGAAACCAGAGCTTCCTATTGTTCGTTGGAAATAAGAATCGGATAGATTGGATTGAATCGCGCGTTTTACGTTTTGATGACTGGACATAACCACTGGAGGCGTTGAAACACACACTTTTTTTTAACGTTACAATCTATAGGAGTTTTCCCTTCTACTCTTCGCTTTACACCATGATGTTTGCAATAAATTGATTAAAAAAACCACTAGAAGAATTTTACGAAACCGCACAACTTATTTACAAAAACATGAATAATATTAAAGTTTTGGATAATACATTATCGAAAAGCCCTCGACTTCGTCCGTTAATAGCTTGAAATTCAGTTTATTTCTGACTATAAGAATTAGATTTTATTAGTTTGTTATTGTAAATTATCCTTAACATATGCATAGATATACATATGTCACCCCGCACTTTTTTACAATTTTTTTTAAATTCTACAGCTTTTCTATAAAAAGCATTTATATTTTACATTAGCTGGACTATTTTTTCGTCGACTTACATTACAAAGTAGGTCTACACAAAAAGCTCTTTTACTTTAACAGAATAATGTACGGCTTATATATACATTTTGAAGTTCTTGTCTGAATATTAGCGAAAGAACTTTTTAATCGGATGAGTTATTTCGCAGATTACCTTTTATATTCAAACTTACGAACATTACCTCTTTAAATATGTATCTATATATATCCGTAAATCACGTTGATTATGATTGTAATTACGTTATCTTTTAATGATCAGTAAAAATAATCGATCGAGTTGGATTGCTATATTTTGCCTCGTGTGTAATGGTTGAAAAATTAATATACTTGCCCTATGAAATTATAAAAAGACAATTATAAGATGGTTGTAAATAATTGGGAATGGGAATTCTATCGGTGCTTCTCGATTGATTTTGCTTTTAAGAAAATCACATCAAACCAAAGTAATATACAGTATTAATGGAAGAAAGATTAAGACATTTAATGCAATTACTGAAGAAACCGTATTTTGTTTTGCGGTTAAAAGGTTTATTCATAACAGAATGGGATTAAATTTATTAAATTATGACTATACGTAAAATGCCTGAAACCGAACTTATATAAATAAAATCTGTGGAGCAATCTGCATGAGTCGCAGACCATAGATTTTCTATTTTGGCGGCACCAAAATCTGGAAGTGAGAGGCAGCAGCAGTTTTGCTTCATATTATTTTTAAGACAACAGCAGGTATTTAATAGATATTACCTTAGTTTAATTGCTTTCAATTATGTAGTTTTGTCTGATCAATTTTGCTAATCAATTTGTTTTTCATGTTTCATTTTAAAAATTTCAAATTTATTGTACCATAAAACAGATCTAGAAGTCACTTCTATGCTCGCGAACGGTTAATTAAGAAATTCACCAGCTGCGAAGATTATGTGTGATTCGTATTTTTGTTTTCAGTGATTGAGAGTTTTTCAATCTTTAGCCTCGATGTGCTAATTGTTGGAGAGTAAGGTAAATAAAACTAAATAACAACTACAAATAACAGCAACAACGATAACACTTATATTTACAAAACTTAACAAGGAGCAGAGTAGGTAGAGAACAGATAGAGATGATAACTCAAGCGAAGGTTGGTAAGAACTCCTTTCTCAAAATCATTTTTCCAAAAAGGAAATGTTAGAAAAACTAGGAAGGAGGAGCTGATCGTTGATAGATGAATGTAGGGTACCAATAGAGTTGAACGATATAAGAGTAGGGTAGTAGTAGTGGTACCGAGGGTTGAAAGTACCGAAATAATGAAATGCTAGGAATTAGAATATAGTCCCAAATCACCGAAGAAACCCATCATAAAATNCTAAAGATCAGAGCCAAAATAGGGTTGCAAATAATTTTATTGATGTAAAATCACCATCAATAATTTTACATCAAAATATTTACAACCCCATTTTGTTTCTGATCGTTTACACATTGTAATAAGATACAGAAATGGAATCCATAGTTTCTTTAGCTTTGGGTTCTTCTAATAAGTGAAGTTTTTCGAAGCGTTTGCTAAGAATTTTGGATTATATGCATTTATTAGCACACCACAATATCTTGTAGTTTTCAGTTTTACACAGCTGGCATATATCAATTCGATATTGTTTTGCGGACTGTTTTGCCGTAATTCATAGAGTTTCGTAGTTCTTTCTTGATTTGGCAGGTGTTGATATCAATTTTGAACTTCAAAATTCTATGGACCATGACATTGAACCCGAAAAACAATATCGATCCAATATTTTAGATTATCCATTTTCAAGGAGTTTAGAATTTTTTAGGCTCTCTCTAGTTAAAGATTTAGAAGGCATTCATGGAATGTCTCTTTGTCTCCTTTGTAAGTTTCTAATAATTTTAATAGCCAATGTGAGCAATTTTTATTCATCATTTTATATAATGTTTGATCGGTGATACTGCCAACATTTTTAAAGGCAAGAATGTATTTTGCATTTTACAAATAGAAAATAAATTTGCAAAAGTGTTTTAAACAAAATACAAAAAGCTTTTCTCAAAAAAGTATTTAAATGCAACATTAAAATAGGTATTTTTTATTTTGTATTTGCAATTTAAATGCAAGTACAGTTTCAAATAAATCACATCTCTGATAACCACTAATAGTAAGATCACTATTTATATTAATCCCTGGATAACTCCTGAAATCTCTCACTTGAGTTTTAAATCTTTAAATTTAATTTTTCAAGCAAAGCGCATTCTAATGTGATCATCAAATGAAGTATTCACGACGGTTAAGTTATGTTTCTCGCAAAACTCTGCCAATCTACCACCCTTATAATTTTTTTGCCTAATTTGAAGGAACCAATTATTGACCTTTTTTTACCTTCAGTTACTGCTGGGTTAAAGTCAACTACGATAAAAAAAGGCTTTCCTGCTTCAGCGCTATAAGATGATGTAGGGCATCTGGACTTCTGTTTTTACGAGTTTCGAACTTAACTGGATCATAATTTAGCCTATCACTTTTCTGTAAATAACATTCTACATTCCCTACTCTTGAAATGTTGCATTTTCTGTTAAAATTATTTCCGATGATATCCTCCGAGGTAGTCTTCTCCCGGACATCCTAATGGAGGGCCATTTTACTCCCTGAATGCTTTACCTCAGAGAACGCCATCATTAAAGTTGAATTGTGCTCGGAATATCATAAGCCATAACCTTGAATCTCCTCTTATAACAACTTTAAATTAGGTGTTTCAGCAACAACTAGTTTTTACTAATTGTAAGGAGTAAAAACTGGTTTAAATGAAATACGTTAGTTTTACCCAGTCAACACTAGAATTGGCTAAAGAGGATCGTTAAAAATAATTTTGTCTAGCCAAATCGCGTTTTAACTGAAATAGGGTTTTTACGGTAACAAATATGTCATCATTATCATAGAGTCGTCACTCCTAAGACTGGTTGGACACGTACCTCCACTCTTTCCTATCCTGAGCTAAACTTCGCATTTCCCTAAAACTAGAACAACCCACATCCTTAACTATTTGTGGACAGTAATCTAACCTAGGTCTACCTCTACCCCTCCTAACTCCTGTTTCTTCCTCTAATATNCTTTTTTTTAACGTTACAATCTATAGGAGTTTTCCCTTCTACTCTTCGCTTTACACCATGATGTTTGCAATAAATTGATTAAAAAAACCACTAGAAGAATTTTACGAAACCGCACAACTTATTTACAAAAACATGAATAATATTAAAGTTTTGGATAATACATTATCGAAAAGCCCTCGACTTCGTCCGTTAATAGCTTGAAATTCAGTTTATTTCTGACTATAAGAATTAGATTTTATTAGTTTGTTATTGTAAATTATCCTTAACATATGCATAGATATACATATGTCACCCCGCACTTTTTTACAATTTTTTTTAAATTCTACAGCTTTTCTATAAAAAGCATTTATATTTTACATTAGCTGGACTATTTTTTCGTCGACTTACATTACAAAGTAGGTCTACACAAAAAGCTCTTTTACTTTAACAGAATAATGTACGGCTTATATATACATTTTGAAGTTCTTGTCTGAATATTAGCGAAAGAACTTTTTAATCGGATGAGTTATTTCGCAGATTACCTTTTATATTCAAACTTACGAACATTACCTCTTTAAATATGTATCTATATATATCCGTAAATCACGTTGATTATGATTGTAATTACGTTATCTTTTAATGATCAGTAAAAATAATCGATCGAGTTGGATTGCTATATTTTGCCTCGTGTGTAATGGTTGAAAAATTAATATACTTGCCCTATGAAATTATAAAAAGACAATTATAAGATGGTTGTAAATAATTGGGAATGGGAATTCTATCGGTGCTTCTCGATTGATTTTGCTTTTAAGAAAATCACATCAAACCAAAGTAATATACAGTATTAATGGAAGAAAGATTAAGACATTTAATGCAATTACTGAAGAAACCGTATTTTGTTTTGCGGTTAAAAGGTTTATTCATAACAGAATGGGATTAAATTTATTAAATTATGACTATACGTAAAATGCCTGAAACCGAACTTATATAAATAAAATCTGTGGAGCAATCTGCATGAGTCGCAGACCATAGATTTTCTATTTTGGCGGCACCAAAATCTGGAAGTGAGAGGCAGCAGCAGTTTTGCTTCATATTATTTTTAAGACAACAGCAGGTATTTAATAGATATTACCTTAGTTTAATTGCTTTCAATTATGTAGTTTTGTCTGATCAATTTTGCTAATCAATTTGTTTTTCATGTTTCATTTTAAAAATTTCAAATTTATTGTACCATAAAACAGATCTCTTATATTTTCATATTTTATACTAGATATACTTGCCTATTTATTAAAAAATAATGTTGTTGAGAACAGAACATTTTTTATTAAAATTAATCAAAATCATTAAATCAGATAGTAGCAAGGCAAAAAGGAATCCAAAAAATTGCATACTTGTTTTAGCAGAATTAAAATATTTTTTATTGTTTCCTTTTAGAGTAGCACAGACCGTAATATTATGAAATTTTGAAAAAAAACGTTAATGGTTTTAGTAAAGCAAAAATTTCTTTGTTTCGTGTAAAAAAGCAGGTCGAGTTTTGAATATTTTAGTAACTAAATAAAATAGACTAATTTAAACCTTTAAATTTTTAAAATGAAGTTTTCATAATACGATAATAGTGCATAATGAATTTCATAAGATAGTTTATAAAAAGCTTTATTGCCTATGCACTTACTAAATAGTTTAGTTTGATTAGTATGGTTGTCGACTAGAAATGTTCGGGTTAATTCGAATAAAAATAAAATCCTGTAACTAATATTTCATATTTTTTTGAATTAATAATAATTTAATACTGGGGAGATTTCTGACTGAACCCTAGCTGCTTAACTATACCCTGGAATGAAAGTGTGTTTGTGTTGATGTTCAACTTTGACAATACTAAATTTTTTACTAAAAATGGTGAAAAGTGTCTCTATAAGGTTACGTGTTAAATGTTCTTTTTTAACAAGATTATTGAAATGTTAACTCCGTTAGAAACCTTGTTTTCATTGTTGTTAACGAAAACGCTTTAAAAAAAGTGTATTTCTAGTTCTGTAAGCTAAGGGTCAAAAACCTTTGAAACGCCATACCTTCCAATTACTAATTGCTCCCTACTATATCTTTTGTCTTGCGATGCATTTGTGTTTCTTTTATTTATTTTTGGATCAAATCTTATAAGCAGATATGTCAGCGATGGGAGAGCCCAATTTTGCCGCCTGGACAGCGCAGAGGGTAATGTCTGCTGGCGCGTTCGGTGGCAACTATACCGTGGTAGATAAAGTCCCTCCTGAAATGCTCTATCTCGTCGATCATCACTGGTACCAATACCCCCCTATGAACCCACTTTGGCATGGCATTCTTGGTTTCGTTATCGGCATCTTAGGTTGCATTTCCGTTGCCGGAAACGGAATGGTCGTCTACATTTTCAGCAGCACTAAGTCCCTGAGAACACCGTCCAACTTATTGGTAGTAAACTTGGCCTTCTCTGATTTTGCCATGATGTTTACCATGTCTCCTCCTATGGTTATCAATTGCTATTACGAAACCTGGGTATTGGGTAAGTTTACTATTTTCTTCATCTACTATCCCGTGTTTATATCTCATAATCAGTCAAAATTCATATTTTCAACGATTACCAAGTGTTTTTATACTTTTTGATACCACAATAGAAACGTGTATAAACGTATATGGTAAAGACAAAACATATCAATGTTTCATGCAAAATATTTAACAAAAGCTCGACCAAAGGTGCGTCGCGTAGTAGTAGTAGTAATTACCTATCAAGTGAACTATTGTTGATGTGTCGCATATTACTATTTGGTATGAGCTTTTGTGGGACTATGGGAGTCATTTCGTAAATGCAACGGAAACGAGTAATAGGAAGTTAGGGAAGGGGAAGCGCGCAGTATTCAATTAATGCAGTCTACAGTTGGCGCTTGAGGAGACAGGGAGAATAAGGGAGAATAAGAAAGATGACCCAGCTGCCAACCGTTCGATTTAGTACACTTGGTATGGAAAAGCGCGACGCATTGTCATGTAGTTTATTTTGTCACTATTAACAATATAAATTAGACAGTTTTATAGGCGTTGTGTTGATATCTGAACGTTACTTGATGGCTAAAACAGTATTAATAAATGATTTCTGTAATTGATATTATTATTATTACTCAATCGTTTTGAAATTAGTAAATATGATCATCATCATCATAAAGTCTTCAGGCACCTCCAATTTTCGCTATCGTGAGACAATTTTCTAATTTCCCTATAACTAGAACACCCTTAACTATTTTTGCGAACAGTAATCTAATCTAGGTCTATTTCTACTCCTCTTGGTTCCTGTTTCTGCTTCTAACTAGCTCCTCATGCCTCAGAATATGTCCTATCAACCTCTCGCCTATTTCTTATTGACCTTCACATCGCCCTCTATTCTCGTTTTCATTCAAATACATCCTCATTTCTAATCTCCTTAATCAACGGTATCCTCACCATTTGCCTGTAACACCACATTTCGAACGCTTTTAACCGTTTCTTTTCCGCCGCGCCCATCGTCCATATTTCGTATCCGTACAGAGCTGTGGTCCAGAAGTACACCTTTAGCACTCTTTTTCGAATTCCTTGACTTGACCCTGCGCTATCCTTTGCTTTATATCTTTGTTGCTTCTTCCACCCTGAATTATTTGATTTCCTAGATATCGAAAATCGGCGACTTCCATCATTATATTCACTTTTTTTTACTTTTACTTCCCTTACATATTAATATTTTAGTTCAAAACAGCATGGTATTAAAATAAATAAAAGTAAAACAAAAATATTTTTACATATGATATTAATAAATTAACATGCTCGTTGCCGAGATTGGTTATTACACATAAATGGCAACTACTGATGTGAGACCCGCATTTTTTTCATTNCAAAATACAAAAAGCTTTTCTCAAAAAAGTATTTAAATGCAACATTAAAATAGGTATTTTTTATTTTGTATTTGCAATTTAAATGCAAGTACAGTTTCAAATAAATCACATCTCTGATAACCACTAATAGTAAGATCACTATTTATATTAATCCCTGGATAACTCCTGAAATCTCTCACTTGAGTTTTAAATCTTTAAATTTAATTTTTCAAGCAAAGCGCATTCTAATGTGATCATCAAATGAAGTATTCACGACGGTTAAGTTATGTTTCTCGCAAAACTCTGCCAATCTACCACCCTTATAATTTTTTTGCCTAATTTGAAGGAACCAATTATTGACCTTTTTTTACCTTCAGTTACTGCTGGGTTAAAGTCAACTACGATAAAAAAAGGCTTTCCTGCTTCAGCGCTATAAGATGATGTAGGGCATCTGGACTTCTGTTTTTACGAGTTTCGAACTTAACTGGATCATAATTTAGCCTATCACTTTTCTGTAAATAACATTCTACATTCCCTACTCTTGAAATGTTGCATTTTCTGTTAAAATTATTTCCGATGATATCCTCCGAGGTAGTCTTCTCCCGGACATCCTAATGGAGGGCCATTTTACTCCCTGAATGCTTTACCTCAGAGAACGCCATCATTAAAGTTGAATTGTGCTCGGAATATCATAAGCCATAACCTTGAATCTCCTCTTATAACAACTTTAAATTAGGTGTTTCAGCAACAACTAGTTTTTACTAATTGTAAGGAGTAAAAACTGGTTTAAATGAAATACGTTAGTTTTACCCAGTCAACACTAGAATTGGCTAAAGAGGATCGTTAAAAATAATTTTGTCTAGCCAAATCGCGTTTTAACTGAAATAGGGTTTTTACGGTAACAAATATGTCATCATTATCATAGAGTCGTCACTCCTAAGACTGGTTGGACACGTACCTCCACTCTTTCCTATCCTGAGCTAAACTTCGCATTTCCCTAAAACTAGAACAACCCACATCCTTAACTATTTGTGGACAGTAATCTAACCTAGGTCTACCTCTACCCCTCCTAACTCCTGTTTCTTCGTATAATATGTCTCTGACTGGACCTTCATGTCTGAGATTGTCTCCTACCAACCTATCTCGCCTATTTTTTATTGACTTCCATTGAGTCCTCTGTTCTCCTATTCTTTCTAATACCTCTTCATTTTTAACATTTTCTACCCACGTTATCCTCTTCATTCGCCTATAACATATTTCGAAGGCTTCTTACCTTTTCTTTCCCGCCGCGCCCACTGTCCATGTTTCGCACCCGTACAACGCCGTGCTCCAAACATACACCTTTAACAACCTTTTTCGGATTTCTAAATTAACCGTTCGCGAGCATAGAAGTGACTTCTTTTTATTAAAGGCGACACGATCCTGCGCTATCCTCTGCTTGATATCCCTACTACTCCTATCTACAGCTATCTCTAATTCCTCCTTGCTAGATGCTAATACTGCTATAATCTGCAAATCTAAGCATACTAATCTTTTGCCCCTGTATATCTATCCCTACAGTTGTACTGTCTTTAATGATGTTGATCGCGTCTTCGATGTATAAATTAAAAAGTAGCGGTGACAGTTAGGGCTGCCACCTTTTCAGGCTTTACATAAAGTATTTCTCGACTAAAAGGTTAAAAAAAAAATACTCGGCATAAAAATAAAGTATTTAATTTTTTGTTTTTAAAAACATATTTTTTGTTACACCTAGCAGCCAGTAACAAATTGCTGTCGCACTTAAATATATTAATAGCCTCTAAACATGGCAAACAAAGATTTAAGTAAACTAAAAGTTCATGTTTAATTAGTTTTAATGAAGCTTTATTCCTGTCGTCCCGTCACTTTGCGTTCATAACAGAGAATACTCTTTCTGTAAATGCTGAAGTGGCCGGAACGGATAGCAAAAGTGACACTACTTTGAACAGATTTGGGAAATCAGGTTGTTCC